CCCCCACCCCCCGCTCACCAGGAGACCTTTCCACACATCTCCGTTTACACCTGGCCTCCTGTGATCAAGGCATCAAGAGGGGGACAGGTGCGCTCACTTTTCCCTCCAATGACCTCGAAACACAACAGTTTCAATCAAACGCCTGATCCAAACGCTGCTGGCGGCGTGAGGAGGCGCTCGGCTTCTAACGCTCGTCGTTTTCTTTCCCCAGCCAGAGTTAGGGGGAGGGGGGGGGGGGTCCAAATAAAATCTGTGAACCCATAAAAACAGGCCTTTAATTTGTTTATATTTGCCCAGGAGCGAGAGCAGCCGTTAGCCCGTTGTTTCTCTGGACTGCAGTCAGGATCCCGCAGGGCAGCTGGTTTGATCTGATCAGAAAGGAAATTTACGAGCAACATTCAGGAGGCCGGGGGGGGATGCTGGATATCAAACAAGCAGGTGGGATTCATTGTCTTTGTGTGTCTCTGCTTGCAGAGCAATAAGGTGACTTGGAAGGAAATGGGAGGGGAAGAAGACGTCTAGCTGTGCAGCAGTAACGAGTAGCTGGGCCTTAGAGCCTATCAGACAGAATGACAGATATATGGACGGTTTGGGCTGAGGGCCAACAGAACAAGAACACACCATCAAACAAGACTTCATTTAAAGCTTCTATATGATCTGTGCAGACCGTTGGTATGTATGCTCACACTTTTTTTTGTTAAATGAGCTAAAATTAGACTTTTTAGTAGTAAGGAATTCAAAGCAGAAGAATAATAGCTACAAAAGGAGCGAGACAATAACTTAAATTGGAAAAACAGATGCTATCATCAGCAAAACTCTAGCTTAGGTCCAAAGAGTAGTTAAAATCAACAAATCCAGAGCTAAAAGCTGCAGAACATTAGGGAAAAAGGGTGCAGAACAACCCTAATTAGCAAAACACGCCAAAGCTCTTAGCTAAAATCCAAAAGTTGCAAAATAGTAGCTAAAAGTGTCAGAAGCTTAAAGCAGCGAATCAAGAGCCAAAAGATGTATAGCTAAAAATTGAGCAGCAAAAAAGATGCCATTATCAGCAAAATATATCTAGCTAGAAGAAAAAAAATGTAGCTAAAAACCAAAAGCTGCAAAATAGTAGCTTAAAGATAAGTGTCAGAAGCTAAAAGCAGAAAAATAAAGAGCTAAAAGTGGTGGAAAATTAGCTACAAAAGGAGCGGAACAATAACCTAAGTTAGCAAGACGTCATCATCAGCAAAACTCTAGTTTGGGTCAGAAGGTTGCAAAATAGTGGCTAAAAGTGTCACAAGCTTAAAGCAACAAATCAAGAGCTAAAAGCAGCAGAACATTAGCTAAAATTCAATTCAAATTCAATTCAATTCAAAAATACTTGATTGATCCCAGAGGGAAATTAGGTGTTGTTGTAACTCATTTAACTAAAAACTTATTGTAGATGCTGATGGCTGTGGGCAGGAAAGATCTTCTGTAGCGGTCTGTATTACAGCAAAGTTGAAGAAGCCTCTGACTGAAGACACTTTGTCTTTCTATGACAGTCTGATGAAGAGGATGGTCAGGGTTGTCCACAAT